TTAGGTAATATTATTTATCAAATAATAATTATTAGTACATCTGCTTGTTTTCCTTAGCAATACTTAACTAAGGACTATTTTGTTAATCCAAAAAAAAAAAATAAATAAATAAAATAAAAAAAACTAAAATGCAAATTATTACTGTGTTTGATATCAAAGTTTTGAGGGTGTTTGTTTCAGTGTAGCTTTTACCTCCTCACCAAACAAGGCCCTACATTCTGCATCCTGAGTTTTTAGCCTCTTTCATGGTACAGAGCCATCAAACCCTGGAAACTTTCACTTTTAAAGGTGCCTTTACCTGTCAAAACAACATTTTATTATGACTATTAAACATCAGTATTATTAAAGTGCCTTTTATCCAACATATGTGTTGATGCTAAGTGCAAGCCGCTGTATGTGGGACAACTAATCCTTGATTAAAATTAATTCTTGACTAAAATTAATCCAAAAGATGGATGGATTATGAATGATGTAATTCTAGAAATGGGCTCAAGACTAAAGCACATCCGTTGCCTAATGTTTTGTAACAATTATTAAAATGCCACTGTCATGTATTCATTGTAGTACACAATCTGCAGATGGCGTCGTCCATATGCTATTCAGAATATCTTCCTGGCCAACGCTGCCTTCTAGCGGTGACAATGCATTAGTGCTGATCCACGCTAATCCTCTTATTTGTCTGTTTATGAAACACAGGCCAAACTGCTCTCAAATTAACTGTCTAACATGCGAAGAGGAGGGGATACAGAGTAAATATAATCCTTAGTTACAAGATAATAAATGTAAGCAATTATCTTCAGAGATTAAAAAAAAAAGTCCTACATGTGATCTGACTGCACATTCCTTAAGCGTCTTTTTCAGACAAAATACATAAAATTATCATTTAAAATATTATAAACTTTAGATTATGTAACATACAGCATTAATGGATATTAAAGCTACAATCCGTAACTTTTTTTGGTTAAAAATGATCCGAAATCAATATTTGAGCAAGTACATAACCAGCCAGTGTTCGAAACTATCGCCTCACTTTAGCCCGATTCACAACTGTT